CCTTCATTATAATTTTGCTCTCACGAGGACGTCTGCGTGAACATCCCTTTCTGTAGGATATTATCGGCGGTTCTTGGAATATCTCTCTTAGCAATGGTTTTCTCCCTAATAAGAGTACATCATTATTATTGTAAACGCTGTAACTTTTCCATCAGTTGGCGATAAACTGGAGCAATTTGAGTTTGACCAGGCAGAATCGGGATGAAATGTTCATTGCAGCGGGATGGTGGGATGTAATGAAAAATAACGGCGGAATGCGGGATTGGAAAAGTTTATTTTGGACCCTCATTGTAACTTTGAGAAACCATTAGGCAGCAAAATTTGGTGTAACGAGTGCTACTATTCATTAATTTCTTAAAGCGCGTTGAGTTTTCAAAAATTATTAAGATTTTTTGACAATAAACTATCTGCTAACCTGGCACTCTATTTGTCGTCTTGATATATCACGCGAGGGGTTAACAAAGAGAAAGAAAGGTTAAAGAAATATGTTTTTTTTGTTTTGTCACGAGCGCGGGATAAAGGAAAAAATTCTGAGTCCACATGAGGAATCGAACCTCAGACCTTCGGATTCCGAGCCCCGATGCTCTACCTCTGAGCCACAGAGACTCCACGGAGCGCGAGGTCTATTACGAAGTTCATATGACGCGCGTCCTGCTTACTGCTTGGATCAGCAACGTCGGTAGCGTAATGTCTGTAGATAGAAATAAGAGAAACTGTAAGTTTTGAGCTAGGGAAAGAAATAAAGGTTATGTTAACAAGATGGCGGTGGCAGTTGTGCTCTGTCCTCCGCTTTAAGTTGAATTATGGTCATTTACCAACCCAGAAACTTGCATTTGCCTAGCCTCTGATCGGCGCTTGAGCAATGACTCACATCTTCACGCATGCCCTGTCTCTCTGGAAACTTTCCTTGATCTATTTTCTTAAATTTAGAAACTGATGACCAATTCTTTGATACGGCCAGCAAGCTTAATCATGTAAAGCTGCTGGATATGATAACATCTATATTTCCACTGTTAAAAGTGCATTTACTACATATCCGCACCACTTCCATTGCAAGGTGCTCTTTCAAATGAAACGAAAGGATGAGGATTCGACTGCACGAAAGATACAACTATGCGTGCATACTAGGATTCCAAAATTAAAGTTTTATCATATCCTCCTCCTGTTACTTTTCTTGCTCCACCCCTGCTCTCTAAGAAAAAAAAAAATGAGTGCATGCAGTCATGTTGTATTAAGCGATCCTGTACTAAGCGATAACCCCACATAAATATAAGCGGTCGATCGGTTGTCAAAGTCCCGGAATTTTTTCTCCCTATTAATTGAAATTTTCACCTCTATCTAGCGGCCGTAGTCATCCTCTCGATGTAGTGTTCGTGGAATTGTTCTGTAGCTGATGTCTACAGATTTACAAGAGAATTTGTCGCCTTGAAGATTGTACTGAAAAAGCGTTTCTTATCGCGTTTGACCCGTATTCTGTGAAACCTGTAGCCAAAGGTCAAAACCGCTTAAAAGCAGTCACCCTGCCATTCCCCGTGGGAAACGAACCTTACATCTTCGTTTGAAAGATATATAACGGCAACAGGACTGAGAGGAGTTCAATTCGGTCTGTACTCATACGAGTGATAACAAAATCGGACTCCCGCTGCACGGTCGTCCGATTTCTTTATCACGAGTTCAGGCACGAGTTTTACTAGTTCATCACGAGTATTACAATTTCCGAGGAAAGAAGAATTTCTCAAGTTCCATCGTGGGATGTTTTGGCTCGTTCCGATTGGTTAAAGAACTGTGAAATTTTTACGGAAAGTTGCTAATTGGCTAGAATTGACAGCGGTAATAAAAGCCATTCTTCATTATTTGCTATCAAATGAACTGGTTAAAGCTTCTCCAGCCGTCATCTCAGCCGCTTTACGATACAGACAGTGTTCTGAAACAGTCAATCCGTCT